AGGCAGCAGGATTGCTTGAGCCCAGGAGTTTGAGGTTGCTGTGAGCTAGGCTGATGCCACGGCGCTCACTCTAGCCTGGAAACAAAGTGAGACTCTGTCTCAAAAAAAAAATCAAAAAAAAAACATAAAACAGATTTTACACTATCCCGTAGAAGATGAGGGTGTCTATGGCAAAAAACTCCCCAGACTTTAGCATTAATAAATAATTATAATTTTTCATATCTTTGCTCAATGTGTGTGTAGGGGGGAGGTAAGGAAAAGAAACTAAGTTTTTATTTCTCTGGGATCCAATATCTGTAATTGCTGGGTTGCATGGCAAATCCACTTTAGTTTTAAAGGCACTGCCAACTATTTTCCAGAGCAGTTATATCATTTCACATTCCTACCAGCAATGTACGAGCCATCCAGCTACTCCACATCCTTGTCAGCATTTGGTGCTGTCACTAATTTTTATTTTAGCCATTCTTTCTTTTACACCTCTTTTATAGGATGACTTTTAACAAAGCTTTAAGAAAATAAGATTTCTCTCTAATAAAAGTACTCAAATGCAATCAAAATTTTAATCTTTTAAATAAAAAAATTAAATCTTCCATGTTGCCAAATTATGAGATTGATTACCTCTCAACCACCTGTTTGTGAACCTCTTTCCACTGTTCCTTATCTTGATCAGTGCCTAAATCCGGGTGCAGATTCTTCAGGGAGACACCAGCAACATTCACTCCACTCCATACAGGCACTAAAAGAAATAATATAGAAGATACTTATTTTCATGTACCAATGGCCTAGTAATTGTGACCCATTTTCCTAATTCTCTTATCTGCAGATACCCATTTTGGTAGATGCAAGAGTATCACCGATGTAGTCCTTACTCACTTTTAGATTCGATTTTCATTCATTCATTCATTCATTCATTCATTTTTAATAAACCCTTAGTCTCAGAGATGTTCTTATTTAGTTTATATAAAACTAAGACTTTTTACTGTATTCTAACCTATTGGAATGTTTAATCCATATAAATCTGAAATATTAAAAATAGTGTGAGAGGCCGGGCGAGGTGGCTCACGCCTATAATCCTAGCACTCC